GCATGTCTCCCTTTTCTATTTTCCTCTTTCCATTGGCTGAGATTTGTCATGATAGCAGGAGCAAGACCAGTCATCTTGAACCATGCAGTGAAAGCTGCATGTAGAGAATGACAGAGCAGCAAGATAGAAGGAACCTAGGATCTTGAGAATTTCATGGAGGAGAGCCACCATACTAGCTGAGACTTTTACAAAGGGAGAGAAGTAAACCTCCACCTCATTTGTGATATAATTTTGGATTTCTATAATAGCTTCTATTCCTCTATCTTAACAGGTGTTTCCCCTCATGGCTACATAACTATTTTTTTAATTATTTTTAATGGCTATATCATAATACATCAAATGATATAGTGTTAATAATTAACAAACCATTCTCCTATTGTTAAGTACATATTGCTTCTTTTTTTCATTATTATTTATGATTAAGAGTTTATTATACATAGCTTTTTTAACTTTTGTTGTTTCCTTAAGATAAATCCCTGGATGTGATTATGTAGGTTAAAAATAGAAAAGGGATCGTGACTCTAGGTAGGTTCTGCTCAAGTGTTTTCTAAAAAGAAATTGTGGTATGATTCTGATAAGAAATGCTGAATAACTAATACTTTTATAACTAATTAAATGCCATGCTAAGTGATATCCTTTAGCAATATATAATTTGAAAAACAAATAAAAACGTGAATTATTTAAGGAAATTATAATGGATATTTTAGAGGATAGTTTTTCCCATATTTTCCAATGTCAAAATCTTAATGAAATACATAAAATTTTTCCAAAATGTGGGCATGTACCTGGAGGGTATGAGATAATTCATCAGATCATGACCAAGTTTTGCCTTTTCAATTCTCCATTTGACTACATGCAGAAAAGTCCCCATACAGTACTAGTATGTTATAAACACCAGTAATCTTCTTTTAAAATTCTCCCTTTTTAAAGAGAGAGCCAGGCCTTAGGCTCAGAGCCTTGGGAAAGCAACAGAATCCAGGCAGAATATAAAACATAGTTATATTTGTGCTTACCTTTTATGACAAGGGACTGATTTTCTATTTATAGTAATGACACATTTCTTTTAAAAAAATCTAAGTTTAAAAGGTTAATTTAAAGAACATTTTAAGCAAATATCATATGTGAAGGCAAAAACAGATATAGTTAAAATTGAGACAGACTGAAATTTGAGAAAACAGTTGATACAAGGAGATTGAGTCCAGGGAATTTACGGCTATCTCCTTGTGCTCTCCAGCAGAGTGTATAGAACAGTATGGTTAACTTACATTGTAGTACGCTTGACTTTTTCCATTTTTTGAAAGTTTCCATGATTTGAAAGTTTTAAAAACCTTGCCCATTGGCTCTAGTCTACCTATAACTTCATTACTCCTTGAAATCAATAAGCCTAAAGCAGAGATAGATTGAGATATGTAATTTTCTTGAAAAAAGAGTGGACCATTTCAATCTTTATTTGAAAGAGAAGTCTTTATCACCTATTATGTACCAGTGTAGTAGGCATTTTACATATGTTGTCTCAGTAATCTTCACAATGGTACTGCTAGATGAAGAGCATAATCCCATTTTAGAGAAAGGGCTCAAAGTAGTGAAGGGTTTTTCTTAAGATAGAACGGAAGATTAAATATAAAGTTCCTAGTGTAGTGTCTGGCACATGTAGCAGATACTAAATAAGATGGTAGCCATTATTATTGTCATATAATTCGCAAGTTCAGGATTTAGTCTGAAATCTGCTCAATTCAAGCCTATGCTTTTTTATAGCACCATGATGGATCCTGTACTATACAATTGTAGAAAAAGACAAGACAAAGATAACCCAAAACAGTGTTAAATTCATGTTTCATTCACTAACAGATCTTTACTAGTTTCTACCACAGATGTTATGAAATGAACTTAACAGCCATCACATGTACCTTTAGGCTGGCTTGCGATCCCACAGGTTGCTACACTGCTCTGTTCTTCCTTTTTCACACCCAAGGCATATAGTTTCTGATTTAATGTTTACCATCTATGCTAACGCGTAAACTCTAAACTCTTTGGGAGGAAACATGTCTACTGGGATGACCGCTTTATGTCAGTATGTATCATAGTGACCAATATAATGAGCTTAAATATTTAAACTAGAAAAAAAGTTTGCATAACAATCAGTACAATCTAGTGACAGCCAGAGCGGAGGGGAATGGGAGAAAGGGGTGAAGGGTTATAGAAGTACAAATTAGTAGTTGATAGATGGTCATGGGGGATGGGGAGCACGACATAAGGAATGCAGTCAGCAGTAAAGTAACGGCTAGGTGTAGAGCCAGAGGAGAGAAAGAGCGATCAGGAGGATTGTTTCATAAACTATATAAATGTCTGAACAACGTACTGTATACTTGAAACTAATAATATTTTCAAAAAATCAGTATAAACATATGTATATAAACATTAGCTTTATTAACCTTTCCAAGAAACTTTCAAATTAAAAAAAAATCCTCAATTTTATACATTTGATCCCAGCTATGTTTAAAAAAAAAAAAAGACTGAAGGAAATTTCTCAAATTTCTTTATGGGTGGTGGGATTATCACTATTTCTTATAATACTTTCATATTGTTGTTTTTCTTACACTTATAGTAGTAGAAAGGAAAAAATAAAGTTAAATCTACCGACACCAAAAAAACTCTATAGTCTAAAAAGAGTGAACATAAACATACAGATGTAGCATCATTTACAATTACCACTTATAAGACCTATTTGCTTCCATTCTCTTTACCTCTCTTACAAAATTAAATGGTTTGTGCAAGCAGTGGCTTAGGGACGGCATGCCCTTCTCTCAAATCCTATGGCAGAATTGAGGTAGTTATTAGATTGCACAAGAAATCTTCACAACAAAATCTGGAGGTAGCTGGGCAAGGCTGCCCTCTTCTGGGGAAATAGAAAAATGTAACCACCCCAAAGGATCTTGGCTGGATCATAAAGGGCACTCAAAAGGTATTCACTGAAAGTAATAAAAGTTTAAAGCTAAAAGTTGATTTTGGAAGTTGAAGTGTAAATGTTTATTTTTGTAAATCTTGAGTATGTGTTTAAAAATCTCTTTGCCTCAATTTCTTATCTGTGAAACACAAAAAATAATAGTATATCATGAGGTTATTTTGAAAATAATGTGAAAAAATGCAGTTAGTAGTGTTCAGCAGACAGTAAATATTTAATAAATAACAATCATTATTTTAGCTATTACTCATATTTCATAATCTTTGCAGTAATTACTTTACCTGTGGGACAACTTCTCTAGTGTTTACAAAAAAGGACTTTAAAGAATCTTAGAGATTGTAGTGCCAAGTGACTACTAGGCTTATTGAAGGGATCAATTCATAAATTACATGAATGTCTATCCAGTATGCTGTACACCTGAAACTAACATAATAATATGGAATGTCGACTATAATTGAAAAATAAAAAATTTCAATTTAATAAAAAAGTAAAAAAAATCTTAGAGATTGTACGTAAGAAAAATGTGTGAGTGTGTGTGTGTGTGTTTTTAAAGAACGATGGCTAAAAATAGAGACTGTACGTAAGAAAAATGTGTGAGTGTATGTGTGTGTGTGTTTTTAAAGAACAACGATGGCTAAAATCCAAACAGAGATTTGTTCACTGAAAAATTGTTTATTAAGGTGTTAATATTTTAAATAATTGGTTCAGTATTTGTATAATTTACAATTCTGGGTTGACCCTGAATAATCCAGATGTCTACAATACGGACATGTATATAAACTGCTTTATTTCCTGATACTTAACATAGACTTCCCTAACTTCCATTTATCAGACAAATAAAACATTAACCTTTCAAAAGAACTTCTTTAAGGAGTTCACAAATTTGTATTTCTCTGAGGTTTTTTTACATTTTAAACCTTCTTAAAAGAGGAAGCTGAAACCCCCAAATCAAAAACCTTAATCTGCCTTTCACAATGTACACATATATCAAATCATCATGATGTACACTTTACATATCTTACAATTTTGTCAATTATACCTCATAAAGCTAAAAAAAATTAAAATCACACACAAAAAAAGCCTTAATCTGAATCAACTTTGAGAAACGGAGCAACGAAAGAGGATCTTTTATTTATCACACTGAGCAAAAATACAGAATATATTTATTAATTCTATACTTTGTATTTAGAGAAATAAAAGATTAGTTGTCAGGACTTGCTTTTGGAGAATAATCAATAAGTTCCTTATCAATGGTTGGATAGTGATACCAGGGACCATCACCTCTCACACGCATTAATCTTCGTACTTCCAACTCCTTTAAGCTGTAACAAATGAAACAGCAATATTGTGATTCTAGCATTTCCAATGACAAATTTGATGAATTAGTTCCATAGAGAACCACCACTAGAGGGTCTTTTGCTTTATGTAAAATATATATAATGTCCCTCCACAGATCCATGTGTACGCATGTATCTGATATACACTTATAAGCAAAATTTGGGACTTGTTATTGACTTTTATTATTGTGCTTAAATAGTTAGCCGAAAATATTGTTTTTAATCACCAAAACATTATCTAAATTGTCCCTGCTCTTTATCTGATCTGGACAGATCACTTTCACTCCAATAGTGGTAACTGCCTGTCTTCTTGCCTTTTAGATGTTAGCAGTCATTTACAGAATGCCCACTATTATGGCCATATGCTGTGCCAAGTGTTAGGAATTAAAAAATGAACGAGCCTTCTTGGAGGAGCTCACATCCCCTTGTTTATACTGGCTGTCCATCACCATTAGGACAGAAAACCTCTTGAGAGTAAGAATGGTATCTTATTCACCAGCCACCAGCATCATACTGAGCCTGGTCAACATCGAACAGACAATCAATATTTGTAAAGAAAAGAAGAGATAAAAATCACGATAAGAAAAACATTCTCGTCTATGGCCATGCTACCCTGAACAAGCCCAATCCCATCTGATCTCAGAAGCTAAGCAGGGTTGGGCCTGGTTAGTACTTGGATGGGAGACCACCTAGGAAGACCAGGTGCTGTAGGCGTAAAAAAAAAATTAAAAAATAAGGGATTGTAAGCTGACAAGGTCCTTGCAATCTATGAGGTCAACCAAGGTTCGCCTTGTCTAAAAAAAAAGAAAAGAAAAGAAAAGAAAAAAGAATAAAAAACATTCTACAATCCTAAGGTCTGTTTACTTGTCCTCATCCTTCTTCACAACCTGAATAATCTCTAGTCTATAAAGATACTTTCCTCTTCCACATCCAAACCTCTGAACAAACTACCATATACTCCTAAAATAGTCCCTCTATATCAAACTTTTAACTTTCCATTTTTACAGATCACATATCATTTTTTTTTCATATGACTGGAAATTTATCACAGTTAAAGAATTCACTTTATTAACCTTAACCAGCTTTCTAGTCCTATCTAGGAGAGATTATATACCTTTGTGATTATATATCTGAGAGGGCACATTTATCTCTTATTTAGGATTAAATATCATCCTTTTCCTTTTCTACTCTTTAGACTGTAATTATCCAAAAATGCAAGTAATTAAAATATTCATCAAAGGGACTGGTTAAATAAATTATGGTTAACCCATATGATGGAATCCTATACACCTGTTCAAAAGAATGAGGAAAATCTATAAACAGTAACAAGAAAAGAGATGATATATACAGTTAAGTTAAAAAAGCAAGGTAAAAAATGTGTAGCATCTTCTCATTTCATTAAAAAACAGTAATCATTTGTGACTATCTATATGCACAAGGTATTAAAAATCTGGAAGACCAAAAATAATAGTTATCTCTTGGGAAGTCAATTATGGGAGATAGTTCCTTTCTATTTTATATCTTTATTTTATGCTTGTTTTTCAAATGCCTAAACACATACTTTTTAAAAACTGTAGGTACTCCCAATTCCACACTCACATTGGCATCTTTCCTTTGGGGATAGAAGTCAGAGTTTTGTTTTTGTTTCGAAATTGTTTAGGATCTCTATATGTCTAAAGAATTCTGGGATCCTGTTTTTTAATTGGAACTCAAAGGTATATGTCTGAAGTTCAAAAAAGTCCAGTGTTACTAAATATGAGCCATATTGTTGTCCCATGCTCTTAAATGCATAATGACAGTTCTAAATATGGTAACTATACATACATATAATTACATATCTAGAAAACAAGCCAATCATATGTTTGTTTAATCATTTAAATATTTTTCAATGCCACAGCAATTTGCATAAACTACAAAGACTAAAACAGAATGAACAAACAGCAGATCAATGGTAGTCTGGGACCAAGACTAGGGGATGGGGATTGACTGGAAAGAAAGAGGCTCACTAGGTGACTGAGATGACCTTTACTGTGGTGGTAACACAGCTATATACTTTTGTCAAAAACTCACTGAACTTAATGGGTAGATTTGATTGTATGTAAACCTCATTCCAAACACCAAAATACACCTCAGATAGGATCAAATTTAAAAGTAGCAAAAGGAAACACGAGTGACCCTATAAAAAAATAATTTGGACTTACATATTCACTTATTTAATTACATCAGAGACCTATGTGTAACACAAAATCCCAGAAGCTAAAGAAAGAGACTGACAAATCTGACAATAAATAAGTACATACAAAGTTATTAAAGCACTAGTATATAGTAGTGTTCAAAACACATGAGCTACTACTACATTTTTGTTATCTGAAACATAAAAATACTTCTACGTTGCAAAACATTCTACACTGTCAAAAAACAAATAAGCCAGGAAAACATTTACAAGAAAAACAAACATTAATTTAACTAATGTACAGATTAGTAGAAAAACGGGCAATTTACAGAAAAAGAAATATAAACAACCGATATATAAAAAAACCTCAACCTTACAAAAAACCAAAAGATTAAAATAAGGAGATGACATTTTTCAAATACCTTATCAGCAAAAATGTTTAGGTTTGATAAATTCCATTAGTGAGAAAGGTATGGAGAAATGAAGATTATTATGTATTAGTGACAGAAAAGACAAGTGGTACAATTTTTTGGAAAAGTTTAGCAATACTCATCTAAAATTTAAAACACAGAATAATTGGCTTATCAATGCCACTGCTAGAAATTTATATTCCAGATACATTTAATAAATATGTAAAAATATATGTACAAGATAGTCACCACAGCACTATGCGTAATATCAAAAAACTTGGAAAGAACCTAAGTACTGACAATAAGATGCTGTTTAAAAAATCAAGGCACATTCATGCAATGAAATATATGATGTAAACATTAAAAAGAATGGAGTATACACTATTACAGAAAGATCACCAAGATATATTTAAATGAAATGAAGACAAGGTGCAGAATGGTTTATAAGAGGATTCCATTTGTATTAATATATTTTTTAAATGATATATAAAACATTTTTAATGCACAAATTTTTTTCTAGAAACATATATAAACAATTATTAAATAGTAGTCACCTGTAAGGATGAGACTGGGTACAGAAGGAAAAGACATTAGGGGAGGGGAGGGAGGAAGAAAGGGCTGCCCTGCTCTTAACAGAGAAGCATATTTTTAAAAAGAATTCTTTCTAATCTAACAGATATTATCTCCTAATAGTTTCCTAATCTTCAGCTCAATCTCTACTTAAAACAAGCTAATTCTCACCCCATCTTCATTCTTTTACATAGAGCATCCTATAGTGTTGAAATAGTTTTATTAAATTTTTCTTGTGATTTGCAACCATAGTAAAGGAACTAACCGTAATTCAGCCTTTTCAGCTTCAATTTGAAGAATAGCCATTGTTCTTTCATAATTCTTTTCAGGACTGTCATAGAAAGTTCGAGCAATCCATCTTGATATAGGATGCTACAAGAGGAAATTAGTTTAAAATTAGTTTCTGAATAGTATTTTGCTTTTCCAGTTTACTATTCTTTAAGATGACTATCGCAGGTAAGCCAAAAACATTTACTATGTGCCAACTACTTTACACACATTTTAAATAATTTTAATCCATTAGGTGGATACTATTTTTGTCCCCATTTTATAGATGAGCAAATTACACAGTTATACAGTTACTAAGTGGCAATATCTGGACTCAACCAGGTCTGTCTGACTCTAAAACCTGTGCTCAGTTTCTAAAGCAGCATTTTGGAACCAAACTCAGGGTCTGGTAATCCAAAAATGAAGCTCTTTCTATCAGTTAGGAAAGATAAAGTAACTATATGGCTTATCTTAAAATTTAATAATGAAGTACTGCTTTCCTAAAATATAATTCATTCAGATAATAAAACATGATAGGATATACTCTAATCAAGGCCACTCCCTATACCACTTTTGTAAAGGGTAACGGAATTAACTTTGGGTTTTAGTAGCAGCGACAGTGTGGTAAAATGACTAATTAACAGTGTAGTCTTTGGAGTCAAGACTGCCTGGGTTCAAATACTGACACTATTTCTTGGACAGGTCACTTAATCTCTTTTAATAGTACCTTTTTACATAGAAGGAGATAACTGCAAAACAACATTGTGCCTGCTACACAGTTGGTGCTCAATAAATGACAGCTAGCACTAGTATTGGTAACATCTTTCCTACAGCATTGAACTTGGGAAAAATTCTGACTGTTAGTCTACTAGGTCAAGAACATACTTCAGTCACCCTTTAAAAAAACCATACAGCTTAAAACAAGAAAACAATGCAAAAAATTACCAAAAGAAGCTGCATGTAAAAAGGGAGCATAGAATGTATTCATCTACTTGATATCAAAAAATTGAATATAACACGATATCTTAATTGTTGAATTAAGACATCCAGTGCATAGACAAGATACCTAACAGAAAGTAACTTTTGGTGACTTTTACCAACCTTGAAATATTCCCAGTGTTCTGGGATATAGCCTTCTGGAATTTCTGCTAACTCAGCTTCACCTAGTAAGAGAAAATAGTCATGTTCAACTTTAGTACCAGGAGTATATAATATTGTCTTCACAATTTAAGTAAGGAATCAACTTCTTGTGGTTTTAAAGGAACCTTTTATTTGTATCAGTGAAGATATCTAATATTTAAATTCATCTCATTCTGGTTGAAAATCCATTCATTAGATATTTTTTAGATATCTTCTATATGTAAGGCATTGTCTATAGGTATTATACAACTTTCCCATTTCATTTTTATTTAGTATAACAAGACATATTAAAAGACATATTATTCCTTCTAGTTTTCCCTATACCAACAAGACAAAAACATTTTAGAATTCAAGATGTTACAAGTATTTTGAGGAGAATCTCCGATGAAACCTAATGTTTACAGTCTGTCATTCACGATTCCATTCTTTGTTAGAAGATTACAATTTATATGTTCTAGGATGGATTAAAAAAAAAACCCTGCTGTTCCTCAGTCTCTCTTCCACCCCTCTTTTCTTTTCTTTTTTTGTTTTCCTTATTCTGCCTTGTCAGAGCTGGTTTTGGGAAATGAAGAGGAGTAGGAAGACAAAGCTTTCTGAAGCCTTTTATGTGGCCTCTACAGAGTCAGTGACATAAATGTTTTAGAAGGAAAAAAGATGTTTAAAAAGTTCTATCGTATGCTATTACAAATTAAGATTTATTTTAAAATAAATTTCCATCCTTATGTTTATTTTTTAAAGAGCTTTTCCTTATCTATAATTTTTGTTTTATTAATGTATATAGGTTTTTAAAATTACCAATTTGGTCAGAAGGGAGAGACTTACCAATGAATACATTCACCAGAGTTATGCCAATTGCTATTGGAACTCCAGTCAACAAAATGTAGAATTTCTGTTAAGATTAAAGAAAAAGTTTTCAGATAACCATTTCCTAACTTTCTTTCTCACCCTCAAATTGTCCTCATTGTATGATTTCCCCATATTTCTAGTAAAATAAACTTGCCAAATTGGAGATGCAGTATCAAATTATTTATTTGTGATTTTGTTTCTCTACCTTTTAGATGCCTATATTTAGCACCAAAAATGAAAGAAAAAAGGATTAATTGTACAATATAATACAATAAGCATTTAAATGATTTTTTACTTTTTGGTTAAAGCAATGTAATGAAAGAAATTTTTGTATTAAGAAGTGTAAAAACATCAGGGTGATTTCAACCACTGTACAGAGTTGGTCATGAATAGAAAAGTAGGAGCTCAACCAAGGAGATAGAGGGGGGCATTAAGCACAATGACAGAGCAACAGAAAATCTAGAGGACAGTCCATGCTCAAATGGTAGGTCACAGTTTTAGGAACTGCAGCTGAGAGTCCAGACAATCTCCCATCTTCTAAGCCTCTATTTTTCATTATAGAACTGAGTTAAAAATATACAGTCAGTATTCTGCTTCACTCTCTTAAGTCAATGTTCCTGAACAACACAGAAATTTTAAAAAAACATATCCCAAAATAATGGAGTTCCTTATTTAAAAAAATATTTCAATGAGTTCTTTGATAATTTAAAGAATATTTTAGTAATACAAATAATTATCCCCAAATGAATCTGTCCTTAAAGTTTTAGAATTTATAGATTTTGGGGGAGAGAGGGCAGGCAGGGAACACAGATATTTCAAAACACCATAATTTTGAAAAGAAAGAAATAGCTCAGTTTTTACCTCTCATAAGCAGAAATCCCTATTTTGAAGAAGGAAAAAAAAGGTAACTAATTTAAAAAGAAATTCAGTAACAAATCAGATCTTACTACAAAATCTCAGTATCTTTTGAGAAAAGAAATATGAATTTACAAAATAAAATCTTTTATAAAATGAAAGATGTTTTCTAAATAGGCCGAAAATTTCCTCCTATTTACATGAAAATTTCTAACTCACCAGTAAATTCAAAAAACGTTTGTCATAGAATCCAGAAGGTTTGATGACAAACAGTCTTTTCCCATGGTCTCCACTGTGTCGCACAGGAGCTGGAAATATTAAATTACCCTGTTTTATACAAGTTTCCGATAGGTATGCTGTTATATTGTGAGAATAAGTCAGATTGTAGGAAAATGCACGTGCATAAATGTTTAATACGAATTAAGGTAAAAAAAAATGCATGCTTCCTTATTTAAGTACTAACAGCAGGGCAGAGAGAATATCTAATAGATTGATGTACTGTTCTAAACTTTAGTTTTCCTCACTTTTAGTCAACGTTAAAGTAATATCCAAATAATCATCTGAATTTGTTTCAACAGCAGGTAGGAAGGTCAAATATTCTTGGTGGGCTACTTTGTTTACCTCTGCAACAAATATTTGCTAATACTGCAAAAGAAATAAATTTAGATTATGGCATTCCATATGAAGCAATAAACACTAGAACTTCCTGCAAAATAGATGTAAAG